CTAGGGGCCTCCCTGCTGGAGTGTTATGTATGCGGCAATACGAACGTCTTCGTGTTGGGCTTCATACCGTCCAAGACTGACAGGTATTACAGAGGTGTAGTGAGGACTTCAGTGCCCTCGTTGTAGTGTCGTCGTCCTTATATGCCGAGAGCCGTGCTTGGGGTCCAACACACTCAAGGACGATGAGTGGGATATCTCCATGTGGCAAGTGAGTGTGTCTGTTGGGCCATCGCGCTGTGATAGTCGCCTTTGTGGCAGCCCTTGATTGAGGAGAGAGCGTTCCTACCATGGCTGGTGAAGATCCCAACGCCAGAGGAAGAGGTTAAGTACACGCGGCCCATCACTAACTCGCAGATCAACAGGTTGGAGGAGCTATGGAGAGAAGGAAAGGAAAGCGTAAGTCATATTGTTTTGGCAATTATCGCGCGGCATGAAATTATTACATACTTTTCGGCGAATATCGATGGTCCTCTTTCCAGGCCACTGTAGTGGATTTGGCTAAGCCAGGCACGGCAGCTGCTGAGGAGGAGCTCCCTGTTGTTCGCAATACGTAGTAGTTAAGGAGGCTTACTGTGGGGGAGGTCTCCATCAGGTACCCTGATGCCTATGTGTATCAGAACACTTTTGGACCGTTGGTCGAGATGGAAGCGGTTTATGATAAGGAAGTGAAGGAAAGTCAGGCGAAGGTGCGCTCGAATGGTATATGCTTCGCTCCGTCGGGTATTTGTCATTTTGTTAGCATGATATTAAACTGCGATGGGATCTCAATATGGGCAACAGGAGGTGTGCATACTTCCCGGTCTTTACCAGAGAGGAGACGGCTGGTGCCAAGTTGGTGCCAGGGGATGAGATCAGGCTGAAGCTGGCTGACTGGGGCTCTGATAATGAGGTGACGTCAAGGAGGTTTATGACAGTGTTGGAAAATACGCACATGCTCAACTACATGTGTCGGTGATTATATGAAAATTCAGAGAAAATTCCGGAGAATCATTGTTGGTTTCTGTACACTCCTACCCAAATTCGTTTATGAACTTCTATAGTCGGTGAGGAAACTACCTAGCTGAGGAGAGCGAACATATACTGCTGCTGTGTCAGGGTTGGATCGGTGTTGGACATGTGACGAAGTTGATGCAGAGTAGTGAGGAGGTCTGTGTGGAACTGCGTCCTCAGTAGGCTTGAATGGCTAGAATAGGCGTATTACGGGTGGTCATCAGGTATAGTCACCAGAAGGGCCCATGGGACATCACCAGTGGGTACACTGTGGAATTTGTATGGAAAGCAACGAGCTTCGATAGGATGCAGAATGTAGGGCGGAAGGTGATTGCCGGCATAATCCACTGGTCTTCAATCAGGCATTGAAGGCGTTTGCTGTGGATGACACCAGCGTATCGGGCGTGATGTAATAATAATACTAGTCGTTAATCTTGTTAATCGGGATGCCTTACTGATTACGTTAGAGCTAGGATGAGTATGTTGTACAGCGAAGTAGCACGCGTGATGGGAAGGTCTTAGCATATGTGTTCAAGTTGGTGTTGGAACTGATTCGATGGGGGGCTTTCCTTACAGATACCACATGCTACTAGGCCAAGCCATCGAGACCAATACGACTATTAGGTAGCGTCCTTCCCTCGATTAGGGTAGCGGTATTATAATGGATATTCAGGATTCATAACCCGCCGAAGAACTGGACGGCGCCCAACCTCCCACAGCTCAATCACAGTCAAGTTCAGGCAGTTCAGAAGGCTCTAGAGCAGCCTCTATCGCTGATTCAAGTATTGTGCCACCTCGGTGTTTCTCTGTTATCTGCTCTCCTTCCCATAGGGGCCTCCTGGTACCGGCAAGACGGTGACTTCAGCGACTATTATTTATCACTTAGCACGTCAGCATCAGGGACAGGTGGGGTTCATCGGCATTGCTTGTTGTTGGAGATCTCATTCTGGCAAGGTCCTTGTGACGGCTCCCTCGAATATCGCCGTTGATCAGCTGGCCGAGAAGATCCATCTTACTGGGCTTAAGGTGAGAGTCGTACTTGGTAGTTATCGAGCTGAGTGGTTACTTGAATAGGTCGTGCGTATTTTGGCCAAGTCGCGAGAGTGTCTGTACTCTCCTGTGGAGTTCCTATCGTTACATACGCAAATACGTAATATGCGTACACCGCAAGCTAAGGAGTTTAAGAAGCTGTTTGATTTGAAGGTGGAAGGCTAGTTGGTGGGAAGATTTGTGGTATTTGTTGTGATTAGGAAGAAGTAGGGGAGCTGACCTCCAGTGATGAGAAGCGTTTCAGGATCCTCAGGAGCCAGGTGGGGTGGCGCTCTAATGTATGGTGAAAAGCTGCTGTTCTTAGGTCGAACGTGAACTGCTTGAGAATGCTGATGTTATTTGCACGACTTGTGCAGGGGCTGGCGATCCTCGACTAGGGAAGCTGCGTTTTAAGATGGTAGTAGAGTCCTCGCTAGTCAACAGGCTTTAGTCCGTGTCTAGGTCTTGGTGGATGAGGCGACGCAGGCCTGTGAGCCAGAGGCGCTCATTCCTATCTGTAACGGTGCTAAGCAGGTGACCATCGTTGAGGGTCAGATGTCTCTCGAATGAGGGAATGCTCTCAGGTGATACTGGTTGGTGACCATAAGCAGCTCGGCCCAGTGGTGATGTGTAAGAAGGCGGCGAAGGCTGGCTTTAAGCAGGTATGATTCCAGTATGGGAGAATATGCACATGGTCATCCACATGTGTTGGTGATGGAAATTCTGAGGACCTGGGAGAAATTCTCATTGGTTTCTACATGAATTGGCATACGAACTCCTATGATTAGTGGAGAAACTCCTGAGCTCAGCTGAGGAAAGCTCCATATACTCCAACACTGCTTCATCCCATGTCGTGTAATACACTTTCGTTGTTAGTCCCTGTTTGAACGTCTTATCGCCCTTGGCGTTCGACCAATCCGGCTTGAAGTGCAGTACCGTATGCATCCGAGCCTTGCGGAATTCCCGAGTCAAGTAGGCGAGCTCTGTAGGGGAAAGTAAGAATACATGATCATTGCTTTTCAGACCTTCTACGATGGCTGCCTACAGAATGGCATTACTATGGAAGATCGACAGGTCTCTGGTGTGAAGTTCCCATGGCCCAGGGAGGAGATGCCGATGTTCTTCTACAATTCTACAGGTCCATACCACTCCTTCCCGACTTCTTGCAATCGTCCTCTTGTCTAGGCCAGGAAGAGATATCGGCTTCTGGCACATCCTATCTCAACCGATCTGAGGCTATCAACATCGAGAAGATAATTACTTACTTCCTTAGGGCGGGTCTGAAGGTGCGTTAGTGACAGTGATGAGAATTATACGACTTTACCTTTCAGGGTTCCCAAATAGGCGTGGTGACTCCCTACGAAGGACAGAGAGCGTAAGGTGTGGTAGCGCGGCTTAGGTTCAGCGGGCTCTCCCTAAGGTACATTCAGCAAGTTCTGCAGAGGCAGACTACCTTGAGTGCCAAGATGTATGAAAGCATTGAGATTGCTAGTGTTGATGCATTCCAAGGTAATGTGAATATACGCATATGATCAACTACATGTGTCGGTGATAGTATGAAAATTGTGAGGAAATTTTGGGAAGCTCTTCTTGGTTTCTGTACACTTCTTCCTAAATTCCTATATGAACTTTGGTAACTGGCTAGGGCGACGAAAGCGAGCCTATATTCGAGCACAGTCATCGGTTGGTCTCAGGTCGAGAGAAGGACTTTATCGTTTTATCGTGTGTTCGATCGAACCAGAGGGCTGGCCTTGGATTCCTCAATGATCCCCGACGTCTCAATGTTGCCCTAACGAGAGCTCGGTGAGAAATGGTGCGGTGAAGCGGTGGATGTAGTGATGGTATCAGGTATGGTCTCGTGATATGCGGTAATGCACAAGTTCTCGCAAGGGCAACTACCGTTGGCCATCAGGGCAGAGGTAGAATGACTGTCATTCGTTGTTATTGTTACTGTGCTTCTGAACCGACACTGCTATCGTCGATGATCATGGTTAGTATGAAATTGATTAGTGTTTGCCTACCAGGTTCCATGCCGTCCGTGTGGAATGGACTCTTGTCGCACATGAAGAAGTTCGACCTCATCGTTGAAGGACCCCTCTCGGCCCTACGTCAGAGTCATGTAGGTTGGCTCTAGCGGGCAGTGTGGGATATTGTGCACATATTTAATTACGTGTGTTGTTGACAATATGAAAATTCTGAGGAAAATCTCGTTGGTTTCTGTACACTCCTACCCGAAGTCGTATATGAACTACTATAGTTGGTGAGGAAGCTCCTGAACTCAGCTGGGGAGAGCGAACATATATCTCTCCAACACTGCTAGTTGACAATGCCTGCATTACGATCGCCTCAGATCCAAATCGATGATCCTGTGGTACCGGTAGCATCCTATCGTGGGTCTTCGGGTAACCGTAGTCAATCAGCGAGAAGCTTTGCTAGAGATGCACTAACTCAGGTGTGACTGAATAAGAGTCTATTGTTGTTGAATCATTCTATCAGGATGAGCCACCACTGTTCGACAGTGACTACTATAGGGGTATACCTCAGAGTGTCCCTGCTCCTGAAGCGGCAATGCGGGCACCTAGTCAATACTTCCAAAGTATCAACAGGATTACAAATCTGTCTCTGCTCGACTTCATGTGCTTCAGATGATCTTACACCGGCTGGTCCTCGCGATAGAGCTCCTAGAAGTGATAGACGTCGCCGAGTTGGTGGTGGTAGCAGTAGTGCTAGTGGCTATAGCGAGAGCCAGATGTCCCAAGATGCATTCGCAACACCGACTCCAGGGGCATCCTATGGTGGACCTTCTATGAGTAGGCATTCTCTTGTGCATGTTGCCTCTTAGCATGGTCCCTCTTTGTTTTTAGCTGGGAGCACTCAACAGTCGCAGATGAGTCAACAGACTGATGCTTGGTGATGATAACGTTTACGACTAGCTCTACCGCCCCGCTGCTGCCGCCGCCGCCCTTCATCGACCACTCCAGGCCTGACCTATGCTGTTGAAGGACTACCGAGTTTGGGGCGCGGGAGAGTTGAGTAGGACGTAGTCATCATCATCACCACAGTCTGACGATGTGCACAAGTCACGGCGTTTGTTGTTCTTCCTGCTGCTGCCTGTGCTGTTGTGGGTTCGTCGATATGTTGCCCGTGGTGATCTTGAGTTTTCATAGACGACAGTATATCTGTACACTAAGACCAAGTACAAGTACTTCACGATGTGTGTGACTTCTGGTTAACTATCGTTGTTCTATTATGATTATCATCACTATTATCATCATTCGGCAACAGCATGGGCACAGTGTTAGTTCTTCGTGACGTGTGCGTTGTCAGTACTACCATCAGTACCATTGGTAGCTTATAGAATAAAACTATCATCATCATCTTCTTCGCTCATTGACGTTATTATGAATCGTATTGCTTTACTGTCTCGATGCATCTTCTATCTGATAGATCAGTGCGAGAAGAGAAGCTGTGTGTGGGTCTCCAACACTCACGTATACCTACTTGCACTATAGACTAGCAAACATAGAGCTCTCCCGACACTTCAGCGTTGTGTTGTTAATGAATTGAATGTCAATTGCGATTGGAGTGGTATATCCATTCGACATGAATTGTGTGTGCTGTTCTGCTCTATTGAAACCAGCTTTCGATCAATATCTCCGCTTTATTCCCTATCGTTCTTCTCCTTTGGTCGTTGGCTAGCAAAGCCTTTGGAATTCGCATTTGAATCTTCCACCTACGATGGGTTCTCTGCAGTATTCAGGTTGAGCGCTCAGTCGATATCGCATTGACGGCCAAGGAAAGGCAATCACCGATTCCTGATTTAGGGTTGAGGTTTGGGGAATCGACAGTACCAAATTTAGCTAAGATTGGAAGAACAGCAATCCTCGTGTAGGATCAAGACACTTCCAGGCACATGACATGGAAACCACCACATCTTTTAAGGCGTCATCCAAATTACTTTTGGTGTAGTATGAGATCGTTCTTCATGTTGAGGCGTGCGGTGGGTTTATACACTAGACAGTGATGTTGTATCAGCCGAGCTGATCACTATAGAGACTGATTCAGCCTCCTAACTGCTGAGATATGAACTCTCTGAATAGCGGGAATCCATTCAACTTTGTTCGTATCATGAGTTTCTGGATTCATCATCATATCTGTGCATTCTACAAGTGTGAAATGTCTGAAGTGTGAATCGAGTTGAGTGAGTCTAATCTTAATATCAAATAACCCCAATTTTCAGACCAGTGAAATCAGCGTTTTCTCTGCTTATGCCCACAAGTGAATTCGCCGTAACAGGGAACAACGAAAACAGCTCGGGTAAGTTGTGCACACTGCTGGCATTGAAGCGCCATTCCCGGCGCATCAGGATCAGCAGAATCGATATCTTCCCTGAGAGAATCCAATCTGACTCAGTGGAGCGAGGTAAACAAGAATGGAGCTCAGATGGTTAGAAGACAACTCATGTTAGGAAGGTTATCGAGGTAGCACGCCACCAGGGAGAACAGATCATGGGCTACCGAGCTCCTTCTGGGAGTAAGCGCCTTCCTGTTGGGTCGATTCTCTAGGGACTTGGCTCAGCTGTGAGAATCGAATCTCTGCACTGAACCGCACAGTGGCAAAACTGCGAGGGAGAGTTGACCTCAAGGCTCCTGGCATAGAGAAACTCGAGCGCGA